CAAGGGCCTTTCGCTTAGGTTAAGCCGTTAGGCTTTGGGGACGTGGCCCTGCACTCGGGCGAAACTCAAAGCCAGAAGAGAAGTGTGACCTACATCCAAGATCCAGGTCAATGGTCCATAGTTTCAGAAGTTCGCGTGGCAAAGCCGTCACAAACCACTCTGCAAGAACCTGTGAGCCCAAAACGCGGGTGAACGCACGTCCAAGGTCTCCGAGCGATGACGTGCTCTTCTCCGGCTCCAAGGACTGCAACCCGAAGAAGCTGAGGTCTAGATCTCTAGGGCCTTCGGGGTATACTGTCCCTAAACAACCTAAAAAACCAATCTTTCCAGCACTACGAGCCCTGGAGCCCCCGGTAGTTTGCCCCCAAAGGTTCCGGAAAGGCTCAGCTTGGCCCAGAAATGTCGGCGATTCGGCGACTCGACGCCTGAGCCTCTCAGGACGGCGTTGTGAAGGTCTGGGATGGCGAGCTCCAGTGTCAAGACGTGTTGCAGGCACTGCAGAATCAAATGGCCTATACCATTTGGGGGTTCCTTGTTATAGTTATAGTATAATGGGCTCCAAAGCCCTATTCTAATTATTTTTAGGCCCCTATAGTGAATCTCAAGGACTAGGGAGATTTCTTCGGCTTGAGGCTGCAGCTTTGGAGGTTTTCGGGTGGGATCGGGCACAGCCTGCAAACGAACGAGAGGGGTACAACAGACCAAGAAGCATAAGAAGCACACGCTGCAAACAGGATAGTGGCTGAGAGTGCATCAAGATGCACAGGTTGCAAAAGAGGATAAAAGGTAGGAGACAAAGCACCGCGAAGCACAAGCAGCCTGGATTCCCGCTAAAGGTTTGCAGTGGTTTCTGTCAGTACTGAATTTGGTTTCCGGGGATGATTCCATGGTTTCCGTTACAGGCCCTAAGGTCTTCGGTATCTGGTTGCGGTCACAGGCTTCACCTTCGCTTACGAGGGTTTTCAATCCGATGCGGCTGGGGGCTTGTACATCGTCGGACCTTTGCCCTTTTTTGTGGCTGTGCCTCCTGGCCCCGCAACTGCATTTTGTTCACAGCACATGATCTACCAGGCCAGCCGCCCGAGTGCCTGAACCCTAATACCGCTGGCGCCAGGGCCACCGTGGTCCGGTCTCCGCGCTGACAGCCGTAGGCCCGGCAGCTCGTGAGAGTTTTCTGGGTGGGCTTTGGCACCCCGGGTTCGATATGGGAAGCCAGAAGGAGTCTTTCGGTCCGACGTGTCTGCGAGATAGCCATCTTCATGGCACCAGGCTCCAGCCTGAAAAACAAAAGCCCAAGAAGCCTCATTCCGAAAGCAGAACGGGCCCCCAAGGCCATAGTTCAGATTGCCAAGCCTTGCCCCTGCCATCGCGGCTTGTTAGGTCTCGAGGGCTTCAAAGAGAGGCTCATGGGCCGCTTTATACCGAAGCGAGGCAGAGAGAAGGAGAAACGAAGCAGTGGCAAGGATAGCGATAGACGCCACAACCTTTCACGAATGTGGATTGCCAATGTACCGGGGGTTTCAAGAGCCCCGATTCCCCAGCTGTGAGCCCCACGACCCAAAGTATGCACCCCCGGGAGCCTTGTCTGCACCGAGATAGCAAGAAATCCACATTTACTCAAACCAAGCCTCGCAGAACCGACCGTGAACTATCGCAGGAATCGTGCGAAGCCTTCTCAGATGGGAGGATTAGGGACCACCAACAACAGCGTCTCAACTCCCCGTATAGACCAAAGCAGGCAACCGACTCTTCTCCGCGTCGCACGACCGTGCCAGAGAAGCAAGGGGAGATCTGGGTGAGAGCTTTAGAGTTGAGTGGCGGCTCTTGCAGTGATGGGCTCAGCCGTTGTTTGAGAAGCCTTCGGATTCGGATCAGCCGGGGCTACGAAGCCAGGGGTTCTGGGTGTTGTCCTTGGGGTGTGAAGGGAAAGAAACCCTGGGGCCCTGGGGTGCTGCATTTCAGGGCTTGGGCTTCAGTTGTCGGTTGGGCAATGGCGAAGTCCAGGGAATGGGTTAGAAGAGATGCCTTCACTTCTGGGGGTTTATCCTGAACCTCTCGATTCGGCACCTGCCTTCGCCATCCTTGAGCCGCAACCCCCTTTTGGGCGGGACCTGCAGGTGCTGTGCGGGTGTGGCGGATCGAGCAGTACGGGTGAGCCGGGCCACGCTGCGGGCTTTCATCGGGGTCTCCGGCCTTGGAAGGCCCCGAGGCCCAGGCCGAAGCAGCCGAAGCCCTCTGCGCTGGAGCCGTCTGAGCTTGTCATTGTCTGTCTGGTGCTTTGTGGAAAATGGGGGAATGGGACTACTATAAGGGACCTTAAGGGACTATCATAGGGATCCATTCCCCCATTCCCGACTAAGCACCAGACAGTTGTGTGTGGAAGGGCGATCTCATCAAAAGCGGGGTCAAGGCAACCGAAGCAAGGCCTGGGACCATCGCCCTTCGACACTTCCGTGTGTCCTTGGGGGGAAAATCCTATGGGCTCAACCCAAGCCTGTGCTCATGTATGATTTGACTGCTGCCAATGTCAATGCATAAAAAGTGGGGACTTGGGCAGCAGTCGAACTCGAAGTGGAGACGAGACTCCACGCCAGTCGTGTGCCTTGCAGAAAGGGTCGACAGAGGACATGCCTTCAGCAGCTCGCAGGACGGATTCTTCATCAATGCCTTCCTGAGGCACACAGCGGGCTGTCAGGTAGCACTGAAGCATTACGGAACATTTTGCCCAAGGGGTTGGTTCCTTGGTTACGAGCAATACAGCCTGGTGGACAAGCCTTGACATGCGTTCCACTGCGACGTCGGACCAATGTCCACCCCCCAGCGCTGTGTTTCTGCCCAGGAGCCTTCAAGACGACGATCGCCTCATCACTTGGCATCGCCCCGCTCGCCAGCCGGGCGCGGAAGGGCGTGGGTACACTAGGTCACTAGGTGGCCGGAGTCCACGGTCTATGGAGTAGCGAGTGAAGGCGCGTTGTGTAGAGTTCGGGCTCTGAGTACCATGGAGACGTTTCAGGCTAGTGCGGCTAGTGGCTAGTTGCTGGTGACCAGTGGAGTGTCGGGACCATTCTTTCCACCAACTTTCCGGTTCGAAGGGTTGTTGAGGGCGAGCGGGCCCATCAGTGTAGTCAGTGTCTGTAGAGTGTAATTAGCAGTGTAGCACGGTGCATAGCAGCGGATGAAAGAAACTTGCTGGGATGTAGAGATTTCGGCAATGTGTGTCTGGCTCCAGCCTGGCTGCCGGCCCAACACGGGCTGCACGTCGTGACCGAGCGTATCGGGAGTGGGGCGACAGCAACCTTCGAAAGCACAGGTCAGTTCAGGTCATCGGAACGTCATGGCGATTTGAATCAGGCTTAAGGAAAGTCCATGGTTGAAGTATGTTGCTTTTGTCTGGTGTTCTGAACCCTCCATTGATCTTTGCTGGCGCCATGGGGTGCTCCCATGCCGCCGGCCCACAGCCACTTGGAGAATAGAGAGAGAGAGAGAGAGCGAGAGAGAGAGAGAGAGAGAGAGAGAGAGAAAAAAAAAGTTGGGCGGGCCTATGGCCTGAGGCCCAGCAGAAAAAAATAAAAGAGGAATGGAGGAACTGTTGACGCTGCTACCTGCGGCTACCTTGTTCGTTTGTCATACCTGAGTCCATGTAGCTTCGCATGACATGTCGGAGAAACGTGCATCACTTTGAGTTGAATGGCAAGCTTCCCTCCTAATTGCCGCCATAGCCTATCATGCGCCGCTGCTTTAACTACAAATGGGAATGCTGCCAGCACCTCAGTATGTAGCACTCTGGGCAAGGCGCAGTAGAAGGATAGATCAGGCCACATGGCTACTTTGGTTTTGGTTCTTTCTGTCAAGCCAAGCAACTCCATGTATCGGGGAATGCCCCGCGCACGTCGCTTCGGGGACAGCTGTGATGCCCTCTCAGCTGAAGTATTTGCCTCGGTGGAGTATGCCGAAATCACATTTCGCCCTGCAACAGTCGGGGGTGCTCAAGCGCGGTGGAGAGGGACTGCCCTCCTCACCCTGGCCCTGGCGAGAGAGAGAAAGTGAGAGAGATAGTATGGGGGGCCCATGTGGCCGAGGGACCTGACCAGTCCCTTATGCCCAGTGGAAGAAGAGAGAGTATGAGAGAGAGAGAGAGAGAGAGAGACAGAGAGAGCTCGAGCGAGCGAGAGAAATAGAGATAGCGAGAGAGGGAGGGTTCTCCATATCCTTTTACATGCCTGTTTTTCTGTCAAAAGGCCCATATCTTTGTACGAGTACGTTCAGTGTCTGCTGATGCTTTCCCCCTCCCTCAACAGGGGTGCGCCTGTCGGCGCGGGGGGCTTGACACGCTCCCTATGCCCCGAAGACCAGACGAGAGAGAGAGAAGCCAGACCAGACCTGGTAGCTTTAGGTTGAGAGCTTCCAGGTTTTGAAACGGGCATGCGAGATCCTATGGAGGCGGTTTAGCAATGTTTGGCATGTTGGCGTGAAGACTCCATCAGATCCCGTGCCCTGCGCCCTGATTGACCCTCCCTCCCTGGATCGCTCGCTCGCTCTCTGAGCTGAGGCCGAACGAGATTCACAAGGAGGCGGGCACAGTTTCACTCGGCATGCAGGACGTTTCAAACCGCTTTGGAATGCTTCTTGTTTTGATTCTCACAAAGACGATGAACCCGGCAGTCCCGTGGACTAACCTCTCCGACCTGGACGCTTTGCCAGGGCAATTTCGTCAAAGATCCAACCTTCCAAGAACATCTCTAGAACCCTTGTCACTAGTAACCGGAGCCCTTCTAGTACCGCAGAAGCCCCTGCAGAACTGTTACAGTAAATCCCTACAGAGTCCTTTCAAGAGTCCTCAAAGGTCCACGACCTGCGAGGCGACTTGAAGGCCCGACCACGGTTTCAGGTTTCAGCCAATCCTTGCGGTGACTCGGGCTATCAGCTGCCTAGCCTCGTTGCGGCCTGAGCCCTTAAACGGCCAAAATTACTTTTAATGCACGAGTTGCAGGCGCTCCGACATGAGCTGCGCGAGACGCGAATGCATCAGCGTCCAGCTACAGGAGACGGAGGCGAGGTGTGAGGGATGAGGTATGATAGCGACGTCAATGATCATGACGATCGTAACCGATATCACCCTTTCCTTTCATGTATTGGTGCACAGGCAATAACAGCACATGTCTTGCGGCTCTGTTGGCCACCCGCAACCAATAGATAAGTGCTGCTCCCTCTTCTTACGTTTGTGCGGAGAACCTGGTAGCATTGAGATGTACTATATTAGGGTCCCCTATTCTCGGAAACCCCCATCTACTTAGGTTTCGGACTCCGAGGTTGTACGAACTCGTGTCCATGCCTCAACTTCCCCCGCCCCCGAGATGTGGAGCTCAAAACTGGTGCCGACCCGGGTGGCTACTCGCGTGGGATGAGCCAGTTGCAGCGCAGCCAGATATGGGTAGTTAGTAGTGGGGCCAGGGGACTTATACACTAAACCCTAAAGCCTAAACCATACAGTACTTGTACATCTCCTCGAGTCTCGGAGTGCAAGCGTCGAAGGTCGACGCCCGAAATCTGTTTTGGCATTTCTACAGTTCTGAGGTCTTACTAAGCCTTATGAGAATAATCTCAACCTTTGCGATTGACATGCAAACCTGCATGCGTGCCCTCACAGGCACAGACGTGGGCCGTTTACGCTTCCGAAAGCCCAGGACCAACTCCATGAACGTGGGTCAGAAGCCCACGGAGGGAAGCTCGCTGGACACGCCCAAAGGCGCAGCTTGAGCGGGTGTTGGGGTGTGGGAGGGCTTAAACTTGCGCAGCTTCTGCTTTGGGATTTCTGACTCTGGAAACTGTGAAGTCGAGGGTCGAGATTCAAAGCATAAGTTGTCTCAAGCTTTTAGTTCTATTCTGCACTCTTCGATTTCAATCTGGTTCTATTTCAAAAAGCTCCTTGCTAGTGAACTGCAGGTTACATCGCGCCAATCGCTGAGCCGGCCAACGTGCCCCTGCTTTGAAACTTTAGCGGTCGTGTGACCGCTCGGCTTTGGATTTGGATGTTTGGAGCTGTGTTTTCAATACCTGCTGGTCAACGCAACGGCCGGCTACATCCGAAATTCCAAGCCCAGAGCCCTCAGGAGATCTTGAGCTTCCTGTGGCCCCGCATCTCGCATTGGGCCGCTTGGGCAAGAGTTGGTTCCTGGGCATTGCCGACCTCGCCACGGCTACTGCACGGCCCCCTCTCACTGCCTCCGCAACTAGAAGAACCGTTCTCATCCTCGAAATCAAGTTCCTCAAAGTCACCAGCACCACTCCACGGCCATTGCTCCATGCTTTCAAGCTCCCCAAGCCCTCAGCCCATGAAAACCCCAAACCCTAGCGAGGCACACGAGATGATCACGAAGGAGATCGGTCCCATGGTCCGCTCCGCTTTGCCGTCGCAACTACAGGCGAGCCAAAACGGTCAGAATGAAGGTTGGCGAACCCACCTCTTCTTTCAACAAGCTGAAAGCTGAAAGGATCCGGCGGGAAGGTGTGTGAAGAATGTAAGCTGCAACCGAAGATCTGGCGCTCCAGCTGCCCACGTCGTGATTATGAATATAGATCGGCTTGGATCCCACGGCTTACGCCCTTAATTGTGAGAGTCGTCTATTCCTTTCCTTACCCCAGCCGCAGCGCAGGGGGCTGACTTCGACAAGGATCGTTGTCACTTAGGCCTGCCTGGCACGCGGCCATGATTCTCTCTGCGGTTGCATCTGAACTCACACACATCGTGCCAAGCAAGCTCTTGACTTCGAATTTGTTGCCATGATGCACCTCGAATCGAGAGTTGACAGGGGATGAGGCGGTGCAGTTCACAAGCATCAAGATCTTCGATCGCAAGGTGCCGCGGCTTGGAGTTTTTGTCTTTGGATGCTCGCATTATGCTGCCACGAAGTAGTGGGCAAGGACTGTTACGTTTGGCTACAGGATTTCGAGTGGCTGGAGGCTCAATGTCTTTTGTTTTGAGATAGACCTATACAAAATATGTAGAACTAGAATATATGTGAAGATTTCCGCCGAAAGCCTGACAGTATGGTTTGGAAAAACCGTACATACCTGCATGTATGCCTGTATGTATGACCGAGTATGCAGTATACCGGTGTACCCGCGAAGGTTTCAAGTATGGGTTGTGTGGCTTATCGCCTTGAGCCTCTTGGGCCAGGAGAAGACTGCTGAAGGCATGTGCGAGAACATCGTGTTTCGCTGTCGTTTTGTGCCCTGTCATCATCTTCGGGGTTTCAGAAAATGAGGGTTACCGTACTGTTGATGATATAAATCCTGCATGACCTTGAGGACCCTAAACTATGGGTATTAAAGTACATTCTTCATTATGGATAGTTCAGCCGTATTTGGGGATACTCTTAATGAGGATCCTATCAGTGGGGGCTCTTTGTTGGGTTTCCCTATTGCCTATTGCCTGAAACTTCCAACTAGGCCCGGCTACCGCCACGGGCTCATGCAGGGCTCTTTCACGATCCGACATGAAGTCTCGTGGTTAATTCTTCCCTAGCCTGAGTTCTGTCCCACGGGCATGCTTCACAAGTCCAGTGTCGTCAAGCTCCCCACAGCCCAAGTCATACGGTGCCGGAATTCTGTGAGGCGCAGTCCGCACGGTAAGCTATAACCCAAGCGGCAGAGCAGCAAACTTCATCTGGCCAGTCCGAGTGTCAGCCGTTAAGGAGTGGAACGCTGACCTCAATGTTATCTTCAAAATTGGCGGGGCCGAGATGGGTGTCCAAGGCGCGGCTGTCTAGAGGAGTTGGCAAAAAGAAAGCTAGACCATAAAGTCTAAACCCCAAAAGTCTTTGTCATCTGTTCTAAACAAAAGATTTGCCATGATTTTGGGAAGACTTCGCGAGCTGTGGTCTTGAATCTCGAGTCTCGACCGCACGAGTTTTGAAAACAGGCGTCTAGCGGTCAGCAACCAAATATCTACGTGAAGCGAAATTTGACGCTGCAGAGACCAGCAAGGGCACATGTATGCGAACACGGACGCAGACGGCTACGTCAAGACTCTAAAGCCCGCAACACAAGATCGTTGGGCTTGGGGGTAAACGTCTGCAACGACAACCACATGCTCACCAGCATTGGAGGTTTCAGGGATGCTGGTATGTTCTGAGCAAATGCACATTCGGAGGAGATTCATGTCTGTGGAGCGTAGTAGAAACTTTTGCATCCTTTGCACGTGATGCAATGCAATGCAGCCACGCAGGCATGGTGATGAAGGGGCAGTGCTTTGGAAGCATTTCTGGGAGCTCCCAGGTCCTAGGGCTAGGTCCCCACAGTTATGACAGCCAGCACTGAGGTTACCGATGATATCAGTATATGACATAACGATCGTAGACTGAGCTGTGTGTGAAAAGCAGCCTTGCAGCAAGCATAAGCAGCATACCATACTTCCAGTGCCGTAAGCATGCAATATTATCATCTGAGGCTGGCCGGCTGCGACATTGCACAAAATGAGCAGACAAGAAGAGGCTAGGTGCAAGTCAACAAATAGTACAATCATCTGCTATGTAAGGATGTGGAGGTCATATTGATTGTGCTCGAGGGTGTGGAGACGGAACCATTGGATTCAATAGCATGACCACGAATCACACCGAGCAACAGAGAGGAGGATCAGTATAGCATAGCTGTAGAACCTGTGTACTAACATAACGCAGTCACACAAGCAAGCCAGAACTGGGTCGTCAGCTGAGGCTTCTGGTGGAGCTTGTCCATATGATGCTGGCCTGCAGAGTGAGAGTCGAGAGCACAAAAATCATTTCTGCCTTTCCTGTTAGGGTTTAGGGTTTAGGGTTTAGGGAACCATGGCTGTGGCACCCAACATGGGCACCTAAGCCTAAGCCGCTGCCCGTTTCTGTCTAATCCCGAAGCTTTCATGGCTAAGCTCCCGAAGCCCTCAACAAAGGATCTCCTATCCGCCCATGTTCAAGGGTGTGCGTGGCTTGGACCAGCAGTGTTGTGGTGTTTATCAGAAGAGCTGGGACGCCTTAGGCCCTAAACCCTAAACCCTAAACCCCTAAACCCTAAACCCCTAAACCCTAATCATGGCCCCTGCGCAAGGATGACACGCACAAATCGAGAAGTGTACCAAGAGTCGAAACCCTAAACCCGAAGTTTTTGAGCCTTGAGCCGGAGCCCAGAGACGCCAGGGCTGTTCTTCCTGGATGCCCCGGAGATGGAGTTGAACTTTGCTGGGACGGGCTCCGACCTACTGAACATGAGTGCCGGGGCCCAAGCAAGGGGATCTACGACCTCCCAGGCCTTGAGCAAAAGGGCGGTGGCTTTTTGCAGCCGACCTGTTTCGTCGGGGACAAAAGCCTGAAAGACAGGAGCGCCAGGAGAGCGCAATGTTCTTGCAGAAGTTGGCGTTGGCTAGTTGCTGTAGGTTTGCTCCTGCTTCAACCGGTGTGTGGATGTTTGTGCCGAGATCATTCACCGACGCATCATGGACGTCTTTACAAGTGGCCTGGACAGCAGAGAGCAGACGGCGCAAGTCTTGAGTTTTGACTACGGATCCTGCGCTGCGTAGGGTTCTTTGGTCATCGGTCATCGGGAATGGCGGGTTTCCATGGTCGACTCTGCGACGCAAAAATGTGGGCACAGCACCCGGACAACGTCCGACAACAATGAGCCCACGGTGCCCTCTCCCTCGAATCTCAGATTATCTCCAGCTGTTGTGGAAAAATCCTAGAAGATTCGAAAATGCGGAGAGGTGTGCTGGCGAGCTCATGTGTGGCGCCCAGATATCGCGGATTCAAGCCTCTCGGCCTGGCATCAAAGGGGCACAGGACCAGCTCCCCGAGCCGGTGGTGGGGTTTCGGGGCGCAGCCATCGTCCGAACCCACCGGATTTCAAATTTCAGTCCACCCATCGTCCGAACTGAGGTTGATATCCCAAGTGGACCTCTTCTCCATCGTGAGTCCGCCCCCGGAGGGCCGCTTGGTCTATGAAAAGCCTCCTGGAATGAACAGGATCATGATTCAGGACCTCTAAGCCCCCACAAAGGCTAAGTCTCATGCTCACGTGAGGAATTCTTTGGGTTACGGTCTGGAATGCGAATGACTTGCTGGCGATGGACACGCACCCTGGCAGCCAACTAGAACCAATACTTGAAGTTTTTTGCGCGTCTTGTCCAGTGCGGTCGTTGGTTTTTGTTTCTGCTTTTCATGCCAAGCATCTCGAGCCCTCCGGCCCCAACAGAAACCTCAATAGATTGCCTATGCCCTAGCACACCTAGCTCTGCGATGCTCTGCGCTTTGTGTGAGCTGTGCCGGTGGACGCCCGCCTTGACCCGACCGGCAGTATAAGTGTGTCGCTGACGCCCAGGAACTTCTTCGGCAAGGGCACTTCAGATCCCTACGTGACTTGGTGCTGCCAGCACAGGAGTTCGCTTAGAGCTTTGCTTGTTGCTGGCCTTCCGGGAGCCTTGGCCTGGGTTATGGTGGCGGAGGTGGCGGTGGTGGTGATGGTTTCGGTGGTGCAGCTGGTGGTAGCGGTGGTCGTAGCGGTAGTCGAAGTTGTATATAGTCGGCGTCGCCCGAGCAATAGTATGTAGTTGTTGCAGTAGTTGTTGTCGTCCTTCGTTGTATAATAGACGAAGTTGCAGTTATTGGCATCGTCGTCGTCGTCGTCGTAGCAGCAGCAGGAAGTTGAGGAGGAGCAGTCGCAGTCGCAGTTGCAGTCGTTGTTGTAGCTGCAGTGGTGATACTAGCAGCAGTAGTTTAGCCTTGTCCCCTGTCCCGGGAGATATCTCTCTGTGGGTTGCATTCAGAGCAACGTCGGGCTTCCTTGGAGCTCGGAAAAGCGAAAATCAATCCCCCGAGCAGGCTCCGAAAGTGGGTCTGACAGAGCCGGGCCGAATCGACGGGAAACCTTGGGGACCACCCAAAGGGTGTTCCCAGGCCAACCCGGCATTTTCATCGCCATCGGCCTAGACGAACCGAGCCCCCAAGGTGAAGATACGGATCGGGGCACACGTCTTCCGGTCAGAGACGCAGTACAAGTGCCTTGGCTCGGTGTTGGATTGGTGGCTTTGCCGGGCATGGTTTTTGGGACCGGCGGATGTCGAACTTGGGCTTGGGCTTCAGGGTGCATGACACCAAGTAGGAACTCGTCGCGCTGGTAAGCAAGGGCTGGCACGAAGGCATAGTGGACGACGAAACGGTCATTCTAGTCGTTTGAAGGCAAGAACGAGTGACCCAGGACTCTCTCACCAGTGTTCAACTACAAGCTGCAGCTTGGCACGGCTTGGGGGGAATCCGGCAGTAATTCGGCGATTGACGAGGCTAGTGCCGCTATTTGCCTAGTGTTCACCGGGGCTGACCCAAGGTACGCAGTTTGGGGTTCGCAAGTGAGTCCCTGTGCGCGGGGTTCTGTTGATTTTGTTGGACGGGTCTTGCTGCGGGTAGGGTCAACATGAGTAGATTTGTTGAATTGCACGACAGGAATGCTGCCTCTCGCGAGGTTTTAAGTTTCCATATTGCTCCTTTGGGTTCAGCACAATGTGCGCATGTGTCCTGCGTGCAGATGCGTGGATTGAATGAAGTTCTCACAAAGCACATATAAGAGACCATGATCTACAATGTTTAGCGACAAGTGAAGTCGCGCATCGACAGAAACTATGCTAAACCGGCGCAGCTTCTGTCAATCCAACAGGGTAGGCCGAAGGCCGTAGGTGGAAACTGAACGCTGATGTTTTCCAGTTCTTAAGGGTTGAGCTGGCCTAGCGTCTGGAATTTTGCCTGTGTACGCGAGGGCCGAACATGAGGTCGGTTCCTATCACCTCGCTCCACGACCAGCGGATCTGGATCGAGCTCTACGACCATGCAACACGACGGATTCTTAAAACCCCTAAACCCTAAACCCTAAACCCTAAACCCTAACGTCATCTGCCAGGTTGAGCGGGAAGCTGCGAAGACCCGAACCTAAAGAAGCCCGGACCCTGCACCCGACACGCTCCATTGTTGGGTTGCCGCTGTTCCTGTCACCTTCTGCGTTGCTGGACTGCTAGAGGAGCACCAACCCATCGATGAAGGAAGAGCCAAACCACATTGCTCCATAAGGATGTGGTGCTGTTCCACAGATTGACTAGGCCCCATTTTTTATCTAACATCCTCAGAACTATCTCACATCTTGCTGCTAGGCCTCGGCACATGGCACATGGAGCCTCAAGCTCAGCACTGAGGACTTTATCACGAGGGACGACTTCCTGGGCAGAGTCAGCGTTCCCGTGGAGTTGTTGGCCGCCCATCTACCGTGGAGCTCTTAACTTTTGGGCCTACAATTTGAATGGGGTTTTGGGGCATACTCTGAGTAAGTAGGATCTAGAAGGAAGTGAATCATTAGCAAAAACTCCTCTTTCGTGGGCTTCGGGTGGTAGCCGAAGGGCCGCAGAGAGGGCGTCGGCTTAGGGTTTAGGGTTGTGGGTTCAGGGTTTTAAGTTTTAGGTAGGGAGCCCAAAACGAAGCCCAAAAGCAGCCCTGCCATGCAAGTTAAGTTTCGATCTCAGGCCACATGGGGCAAGGACAAGAAGGTCACCGTGTCGCTTCGAGACGAGTTCGACCAGAAAGGCCGTTTGCATCGCTCTGCATGTCCGTCATCTCTCTGTCCCTCTGTTTCACAGTCTTTCTCTGCCTCTCTATGTTCGTCTGTCTGGCTGTGTCTCTGTCTCTGTCTCCGTCGCTGGCTCTGTCCTTGTCTCAGTCCCTCTCTCTCTCTCTCTCNNCTCTGTCTCTCTCCGTCTCTCTCTCTCTCTCTCTTTCTCTCTGTCTCTCTCTCTCTCTGCCATTATCTGTACAGACACACAAGCAGCAGGCACCCTGAGTGTTAAGCACGCTCCCACAATACCTACATGCTGAAGGCAAGAACGGCAGCGTCACGCTCAGCGCCGAATGGCAGCCCGTGGTTCAGGCCAAAGCGGGCGAAAGTCCGGTCGCGGACCGCTTTGAGGTTTGTGGTGGCTTCGCACAGCGAGTGCAATTTCGAGCAATTTGCGGGGCTTGAAATTGGTGCGGGATTGGAAATGCGGTCGTAGCAAAACACACAGTACGAGAAATCAGCAGGAGGTGCCGGTTGTAGTTTAGCAGAAGCAGGCAGGAGTAGACTACTAGTGGTAGGAGTAGTAATGGTTGCACTGTAGATGTTGTTGTTGGTGGTGTTGGCCGTGGTTCGCGGTCGCGGTCGTAGTCGCAGTCGCAGTCGCGTCGGCGTCGTAGTCGTCGTTGTCGCCGTCGTCGTCGTAGTAGTAGCAGCAGGAGTAGTAGTGGTGCGAGCTATCCTGGAGCCAAGAAGCAGCAACTTCGAGTGGTCAGCCCACATCTAAGCCCAAAAGCTGCGCGTGCCAGGAAGTGGATGCCGCGGGCCAGGTCGCCGGCCCCTTCAATCCCGGTAGGGTAGCCCTTCCTCATACAAGGTTACGCTGTTGAAAGTGTTTCTTGTCTGCTTATTGTCTCTTCGGTGATCTGATTGAATGGTTGAGATGTCGATGCTGTTGGCTGTCTGCTTCAGCCGAAGGGGGCTCGCTCGATCCCTTTAACAGCCCCTCAAAAGCAGCCACTGATACGCAATTGGACTATCCGGAACACCGGGACCCTAACAAAGTCAGGCGGAGCAGTCTGGTCACGGTGATTCGGATAGCTGCAGCGTCTCGAAGATTGGGAGTCAAAATGAACATCAGCCTCAAAGCCCTCAAAGCCCCGAAGATGGCCCAGGCGTTCCATAACTTGAGACCGTGTGCGGAACCTTGAACCACATGAATTTTAATCCTGTCGTGGTGCTGAAGTGCACAGGTTTGCATAACCTCATCTTTGATCATCCGAGCCGTGACAGGACCACCCTGCCGGCGTGATCACCGCGGGAGCTGGGGCCTTGATCAACGGTTCGAAGCGTTTCGGGAGTTTGAGTGGAGCTCCCAGGAGTCCAAGGCTACCAGGTCGTTGTTCCCAAGCATCACACCAAACTCAGGGAGGGAGAGGTCTCTCCAGCTTCAACGCGTCATCTGCCGAACTCGTGGAAGCTCTTAGGCCAGGAATTGTTGAACAACGCACTTCTCGATAAAAGCACCCGGGGAAGAGAGTCGCTCCTTGAGACCAGCCAGCCGCCAGCTTGCTGCAGAGGTCTTCTGCGCTATGCAGCTGCCCGATGTGGATGAGACCACACAGTGACCCCATTCACAGCGCCTACCCTATGTGCGTAAACCTGTCGTGCGAAGCGGTTTCATGCCGGTCTCGTCCATTTTTGCCTGCTGGTGGGGGCTCTCGAAACTGTTAGACGAGTGCCGGGGCCTGAAACCGAGGCCCCAAAAACCGCCAAAGCTTCATAGCAGGTACTGGGTCACCGCCACCTGCACGGATTTGATGCCCTGCGCCACGCAGCACGACGATGAGAATGCCACGGCTCACGCGCCCCGGTGGCCCTGAAGTCAAATCACTCCCAATAGGCCCATTGCTTCAAACCTAATCATTCGGGTCTTCGGTCTCCTGAATGACTATTTTCATCTTGATGCCGTTAAGGAGTTAGCCTCTTAAGGTTTTGGGCTTGAGCGTACACCTTAGCTTGAATGCAATGTCACCGGCTAGCTGACACAGGCTCTCTTCCGGAGCAAGAACGCCCACCCTCGCCCCCGAAAGCTTGCAAACTCTAGGCCGTAAAACCTTCTGAACAACTTTACACAAAATCCTTCCGTTTCCCCACCCCGTGTAGCCAACTTTTTCGTGGCCCTTTGTGAAGCAGTTCTGGGCCGCACATCTCGTCGAATCCCAGGAGTTGACGACGGAGAAGACGCACGCAGTTGAGGCCAGGAGCTCTCTCCTGAACTCTAGGGTCTGGGGTTCAGGAGCTCAGGGGTACTGTCTTGTGGGTCAAGCTGGGCAGTAAGGGCAGCAGTCGAGTCCTTTGTGAAAACAAGGAGCTCAGGAATCGTGATGCTGCTTGTTGCATCGAAAAATGATGCTTCCTCCGGCCCCAGACCGTGACACAAAAAGGGCTAGGATGTTGCCGGTCCTTTGGGGGTTTGGGTTTATGCTTAAAAAGTATCAGAGCTTCGGCTTGAGCTTTCCAGGTGCAGGAGGAGTGGGACGAGAAGTCGGACCCAGTGAACCTGCGGCTCATGAAGGACAAGGTGGATCTCCTGTGGCCCGTCCCGAATGTGGATGAAACAGCAGAGGACCCTCAGGTCTCATTGGGGTTCATTGTAGTGTCCCTCACTCTGCTTTTTATCACTCACCGGTCCGTATGCCTGGCTTGGGCACGGAACCCGATTCACTTTGGGTGCGTCGACTGGACATGGCAGAAACATAGTGCTTGGCAATCTACCACAGGACTGCGCTTTCACGCGGTTTGGGTTCCCTGCAGCTCAGGCGCAAGCACGGCATGAGCGACAAAGACATCATGAAGGCAGGCTTGGGGGCTTCACTGAGAGCCGCCCCAAATCCTTCCGACCGGACAATCTCATCGGGAATGCCGAAAAAAGCCCTGGGTGCTGGCTGCAGGAGATGAGCCGTTGGCCTGGGAAAGACCTGAGTCCGAGCAAAGAGCCCCCTCCTTTGAAAAAAACCACCGCCCCATGCTATCTGCAAGTGCAAGGGCTCTCAAGGGAAACTAACGGTTCGGCGAATATTTCAGTTTCAGGCAGCGCAACTCCCGAGAAGCATCCAAAGGCCTGGCAGCCCTGAAACCTGCCTGCACCTGCCTGCGTTTTGAAAGTCTGAACCTGCCAAAAGGAGAGTGTGTGTTGTTTGTGGAGTCGTGATAATGGCGATAGACTGTGTGCTGCGAGTGGCTCTTGGACCCTCGACTTTCTCTGGGTTTCAGATCATTTTTGTCTTTCTGATTTCTCTGCCCAACTGGCTCCTCCGAAGTCGGAGCGCTTAACGCCAACCTAGCGGACTTCTAAAGGGCCACCAAACACAACAAGCTAAGCCCTCCAAGCTTAAAGCAAACGACCTTGAGCTGCTGCGGAGGTGCTGGACTTAGCAGGCGCCGCGGAACGCTTGGAGGCGTGCGGACTGAGGGATCATCCGGAAGAGGGCTGGGCATATCTTCCCTTCCCCTTGCCAGATGTGATCTACCGTCTGTAGCCGCTGAGCTCGTCATTGCAGGAACTCAGTGGGAGTCTGTAGCAGTTTCGGCCTCGCCTAGAGTGGCCGAAGCCCTCTTGTTCGTCCCTGCTACCTCTTTAACCAGGCTCTTCTGATAGCCAGTTTTTCAAAGATGTTCGATTATCTTGCTATATCTTTCTTTGGCTGATTGGCTGTATGCGAATTGGTTACTCCCATCCTGAATAGTCGGAACAGTCTTGGAAGTGCTTCACCTTTACCGACCCTCTCACCAATAATCTCTAGTAATGTCCGACGAAACTCCCTGCGTGCGACTTTGTCAGCTGGGCGGGTGGGAAAAAATAACCTCGCCCGGCTTGTCAGAGCGTGAGCGCCAAACCCTAAAACCCTCGGTGCGAGAGTGAGAGCCGAAAGCCCATAAGCTTCCTTATTAGATGATTAGATGATCGTTCTAATCATAATACTGCAGTTATAAAGGCCCCTATGTCCCGATTTCGATAGGTGAGGGCAACCCCAACCCCAACCCCCTACCGTAAGCCACAAAAAAAGGCTTTCAGCCACTTCGCGGGTTCAGGTTGACAACAGCTCGGCAGCGAGGTTCTTGCTAGACAAGCCGGGGCCCCAGCCGAGAGCTCCAAAAAAAGGGCTTCGGTGGGGGATCCAGAAACTGGGTTCTCTTAGACTTTACTCTGATGTTCCTAAAACATACTAGAGTCTGCTGAGGTATAGAGTCTAGAGCTCCTTATCTTCCGCCTATATAAGGGGTCCGTTATTGTCTGAGGCTGCCTGGTTTCAATGAGCGGCTATTTGGGCACCCCGCTTGGAAGCGCACTTGTCCCGGGCTTTGGTAACATGGAGGTCTGAAAAATTCATCATAGCATCTCCTTGCAGCCGCCCGAGACCCCGAACCCCATGCTAGCAAGGCCCCTCCCCCTATTGAGGCCTTCTTGCTAGGCCGCAGAGGGCTGCCCTGGGATGCTCGGTTTCGAGCTTTCAGCCTGCCCAGCGGCCTGAAGCTTTCAGCCCTTAGCCCTGAAGCCGAGTGTGAGCGCCGAAACCCTGAAGCCTTACATAGCCCGAAACCTCTGAATGCATGCGGCTTATACTCGTCGCCCGGAGTGTCTCAGTTGCGAGAGTGTAAACCCCGAAACTGTTTCCTCGATGCCTTCTGGCGGCTTCAGGGCCTCGGGCGGCCGCATCGCACGATGGCGCGCGGGTTTGCAGTTCCTCACGAAGAAGGCGAGATGAGGGCGATCATAGTTTGGGATTGCCGTCGTCGTCGCAATCGACGTCGCCGCCGTAGCATTGTAGTGTGAGCATCGGGCAGTGGCGGCGGCGGCAGCAGCAGCAGCAGTGAGCCTGGTGCGGGTGTATGTGAGATAATTATGACGATGCCAATGGCGAGCCAGAAGTGCCTGGGCCTTACCCGACTCTGCCTGCAAGGGGCCGGACGCAGCGATCACTTTCCGCCTGCACATGCAGAAGGGCGAGAAGACGCAGGCATTGCTAAGATCTTGGAGCTCAGGGTTGGCCACGTATGACACGCAGCGCTCTTATTCTCATTGTGGGCTCGTGTGGATGTATTGCGCTTTATCAGCACGTGTACACCAGCATAACGAGTTTTAAGCGAATGCTCCCCATATCTCGAAGTTCGTGAAATGAGGGGCTCAAGATCTTCAAGGAAACTGTAGACCTCAACTGTCAGCTTGAAGCCCAAAGCTCTGCAGTCCAAGCTCTATGTTGAACTAGTACTGATTCCGAGTCGTTGTAGCCGAAGAACTTAAGCCAGAGTAGGAATAACATCTCAAAGCCAGCCTGTCAGGCCTTGGGCGAGTATCAGCGGCAGCTCCGGGACAGCTTCTTTTTTTGGGAGAAGAGCTCTCGGTTTAATGTAGGGGCCTACATAATTACCTATACTATTTGGGGGGTTCCTTATTATAATTATAGTTTGATGGGCTCCACAACCCCGTTCGAATTCTTCAGGCCCCTATATTACAGGGTCGGCCTGTTGAGGCTGGGGATGGATTAGGGTTGGCTTCTGGCTTTGAGTTCTTCCTTTTCGGTGTTGGGCTTTTGTGAGGTTGCAAAGCCCTTCGGGTTCTGCATGCTGAGTGTAGGACTGGCCCAAGCTATTCCGAACTCTGGCCGCCTTTGAACCACTCCAGTCCTCCATTCGAAGAGCCGGCCTGGCAGAAAGGGAAGCGTTAAGCTCGAAGCTTCGAAGTGACAAGGAAGGCGGGTCTAAAGAGACACCAGCAAAGCTTGAGCCTGGCAGTGCAATTAAGGACGGTGGGTTGTTTCCATCGTTACCTTCATGAGAGCACGGGTTCCTTTTAGAAGCATGGAATCACAATGCGGTGAAGCAACACGAAGGCCTCGGCCGCTCTTGGGGATCGGGAGAGTGTTGCGACCCAAAACATGGCTGCGATCTAGCGACGAGTTCGCTTGTGGTAGACTTGAGAGGAGTAGCCACGGAGCGCCAGCCAGAGAATGACGATCACAGCAAGGGTGACAGAAACAGGAATTCCGCGAAAGAGGGCGATTCGTCATGTGTGCAACTCACTGCTCGTTGCAGCGGCTGCAGGACCTGGAGAACCTTCCGGAGATGACGGCGTATGAGACGGTGGCGCACTCGAGTTGTAGACATCGAAGGGACGACGGAATCATCCCGATTTTTCTCTCATTTCAATTGCAGTAGATGTTGCTGTGCAGTACTCGTATCTGTCAAGGATGTCGGCCCAAATCCTACTTTGCAATGCGCGATAAGGTGCAACTTGCTGGAACGGACATCTTGATTCGCATCCGGCCTCCTACCTGGAAAGTGTGAGGGGAGCTGGGGCTTTGAGCTAGTTCTCGGGTCTGGGTCCAATCAGCATCCCGTGAGCGCGCTTGGGGTTCGTGTTCTCCTGAATGTTGTGGTTCCTGTACCACGAGGTTTGAAGCTACAACTTCCCGAAGTGTAGGCACGGTCCAGCATGACGGCTCGAAAAGCACAGCACGTCTCCCTGTTCTCATTCTTATTCCGAATTCCCCATCCGTTGTTCATTCTGCTTGGGTGTGCTAGCAGTAGCTCCAGTGCGCCAGAGATCCGGATCCAAGGCTTCAGCTGCGATTCCTCGCCAAGGCCGAGCTGCTTCTTGCGACGAAAGCTCTGGGACCTCTGGGACGGGGCGTCCGTGCCTGCGCTTTCTCTGTCGCTCTCGCGTGGCTGTATTTCTTGCTTTTTTGTGACGCGTAAACCCGTGCCATTGCAGAGCTTGCGCCCCTCCCAATTCATCCTACAAGCAGACGGCAACGAGGCGCCATAGAGTGGGAACTTTCATTGCCCGTAGCTCGCGGAGGTTGCACATGCATCGGCAAGATACAGCCCCCATGCTAACTGTCACGCCTGAACACCTGAATACTTCAGCTGCGAGCCTGTTGCAGTCCGCCATATCCCGCGCGCCTGTCGCAGCTGGCGTGCAAGTATTTTCATGGCTGGGGCTCGTTTCTGGATTTTGGGAGATATTTCGGACATCTCGTGTGTGGCAGTGTGTGCTGTATGGAAGCAGGCAAGCACATTCATCGTAGTCAGAATGACAGACGCGCCATGTATCGTAATGATGACGACAACGCATAACTAATCGCATCATCAGTAGGGCCAGCAGAACCTATAAGAAGCAGGTTTTCCCTGCTCAAAGAGGACAGTAAGGACTCACGGAGACAGGAGGTATCCCCAGTGATATTGCCCGTATTCGTCGAATCACGTCGTTAGTCGCGTCGTCAGCAGATGAGGCACAAGTGCAACAGTTGTACCTGGAGCGGCAGTAGTCGCAGTAGTAGTAGTAGTAGTCGTCGTCGTCGTCGTCGTTGTTGTTGTAGCAGTAGTGGTAATAGTAGTAGAAGTACAAGCAGCAGCAGGACTGGTAGTAGTAGTAG